TACTCTCTTTCTTCAACCCAATTTTTGCGTTGCAACCAACCTGTTGGAAATCCTCCTCCGGCGTTGCCTGTGGCTACTATTACCATCTCTATCTTTCGGTGTCAGGAGTCTCTACCACCTCCCTTAACTCCTTGTCTGCTGCATACTAAAGAGCGTCTACAAATTTCGCTAGGGCGATCCCATTTCACACTACTAAGCCTAATGTCAAATCCCCCCGCTCGACCGTGTCCATGTAGAATTGGATTCCGTCCGAAAATGACTTAAAACACTGCCCAACTATTGGCATCATTTCAGCGTCCACTTCGGGCAACGGAGTGCGTTCCACGCACTATGCTCGGACCCCCGACACTGTCGCCTGTAACGGTAACATGTAAATGATGTTAGTCCCTGGTAGATGAGCAGATCCTAGTGCACTAAACCCAACTTGCAGTGTGTTGCATAACACGGACACATTCTAACTTAGTATGCAATGGACCTTCCACTATTTGATAAATTATATTGAATGCAAGACAGGAGTGCAAATCACGTACATACGCATTAAGCAATTGCGTCCTAGCTGAAAATCTTTGCCTACTTTTGTATGCAAATCGCATACATACATAGACTACATTATATTTAATGCAGAACGGGAATGAAAATCTCATACACACACGTTCAACCAAATGCATCCTAGTTGAAATCTCTGCCTACGTTAGGATGTGCTACGTTAATTCAATTCAAATTTAACCATGTCTTAGCTTAACATGGACGTTCTGGTTCTTACCATAATCCCACCCACATACATACACATTAAGCAAAATGCATCCTAGCTGAAATCTCTGCCTACTTTAGCTTAACAGAGATTAGCTCTTACCATAAACCCACCCCAAGTAGTATAATTCACCCACCCCATCCAGCCACCTAGTCAAGACCCAGTTCATTTTTCATCATCAATAAACTGTACTGTGATCGTTTTGCATACAACCCTAACCACTTTATAGGAGATGAGATGCCCAGTAAAGATGTGTTAAAACAAACCGGAGAAATATAAATTTAATATAATCAAGCTTGGACACCGTTCAATATAAAGAAACCAACATCAACAATAGGACTGCGTACACAACAATCCATGATCACACCATTACAAAGCAACGACACGATTGGTGCTAACCAACAAATATGGTACTATCTCAAATTCCATGCCACGGGCTGGTCCAGCACAGCAGAATGGGAAGAAAGCAGTGGGGGGTGGATCCAACAACACCCATTGGGTGCCCGCCACCCTACCGGGACAGACGAGAGCACGTGGGCTGCCTCCGGTCACTCCGCGAGTACAACGTCGGCGATGAGCATGTGCGACATATAAAACCAAAAGAAGGGAGGGGAGGATTGGGGGTGGGGGGTGGGGGGTGGGTGGAAGGATACATGTCGAAGCAGGCTCTGCTGCGCGGGCCGCTAGATGCTCCCCCTCGGAAAGCTCCATATTCGCATCGTAGCAACCTAGTCCGGGTACGCAGATGTAAAATGCCCGTGAAAATAGGATGGGATGAACGTAACTGGAGTGTAGTTCAATCTAGAACACAACACGCGAGGCCCCTGACTGCACATATTGCAACATGTGTGCTGGGGGCGTCATAACGGGGTGCATGCTACTCCTGGGCTGCTGGATGCATGAAACCAATGCACCAGATAGGTGCAAAAGTTCACACATTAAGAGTGGTATGCACCAGAAAACCACACACACACATATATATATATATATATATATATATATAATATGTATTTGTTTATGTTTATGGTTTAACTAATTAAATTTAATCTCAGATTCCTTATCCGATGTAATTATTATTATTATTTGTAAATTGTTCTGTAAGGAGCATTTAATGCTAACGACTACATGTAGTATGAGAATTATTAGAAACAACTTCCAACCAATATGGGAAACCTAAAATGTGGCTTAACATTAGTTAGTCTTTAATACAAAGACAGCTACTGTAAATCATTTCTAAACTGAATTAATTTTAAGTTTTTTAACGCAATATTATGTATGTCAAACGACGTCACTTTCATTGGACGGGAAAATGCAATGTTTTGATTGGCCAAAAGTTATGGTTTCATTTCCACCACCAAGGGGAGGTCTTCAGCTTTCTGATGTTATATTTGGATGCATGAAAGAGTGGGGCATTGAAAAGAAAGTGTTTACAATTACAGTTGATAATGCTCAAAGTAACGATTCTGCTATTAGGTACATGAAGGATACACTCCAAAGGTCAAGAAGTTTGGTATGTGGGGGACGTTTGTTTCATGTTCGCTATTGTGCACACATCTTGAACTTGTGCGTTCAAGATGGATTAGATGAGATTCAGAACATCATTAGTGATGTTAGAAATAGTGTGGAATATGTGAACCGGTCAGAATCAAGGCGTATACAATTTGCTAACTGTGTGCAACAATTGCAATTGAAAGATAGGAAATTGATTCGTGATTGTAAAACTAGATGGAACTCAACTTTTGAGATGTAAAGTTGTGCACTCAAGTTCAAAGAAGCTTTCAAGATGCTAAAAGATCGTGATCCTTTTTATGAGAGTTGTCCATTGGAAGATGATTGAGACAAGGTTGTCAAAGTTTGCTCAATTTTAGAGGCTTTCTAGACAGCTACTCACATTATTTCAGGTTTGTTTCTTTTTATTTTTTTTAAAAAAATTTGGTTAAGGTTGTGACTTGTGAAATGTGATTATTTGAATTCAAATTTATTTCATGTTCTGAGTACCCTACTTCAAATTTGTTTTTTCAAGAAGTTCAAAAAATCAAATCAACATTGGATAGTCATGTAGATGATGAAGATGACTTTATTAAGGATTTGGTTAAGAGAATGAAGAAGAAGTTTGATAAATATTGGGGTGAGTGCAATTTGTTGATGACTATAGATGCTGTTTTTTATCCAACAAAGAAAATGCTTGCAGTTGAATTATGTTTCACTAGACTTTATTCTGATAAGGAAGCTAAGGGGAATATAGCAAAAGTGAAGGAGATCATCAATACACTTTATGAAGAGTATGTTGCTGAATCAATGAACAAAGAAAATTTCGAAAATTCAGGTTCTTCTAACACTTTTAGAAGCCAAGTTAGCTGCCAAAAGTCCACATATGCTTGGGAAGATTTTGAGGGATTTTGTGCATAAGTTGAAACTTTTGGGCCTAAAAATTCTGAGTTAGTAGATTATCTAGAAAAAACGCGTCTTAAGACTACTGAGGTTCTTAGCAACTTTTGCTCTTTAGACTAGTGGAAAATGCATAGACTGCAGTATCCAATATTGTCTTGAATGGCAGCAGATATTTTAGCAATACCTGTTAGCAGTGTGGCTTCAGAAGCAACATTTAGTGTTGGGACAAGGGTAATTGATTCGTATCGTGCATCATTGTTGCCTGAAACAACACAAGCTTTACTTTGTGGGGGTGATTGCCTAAGACATAATGACATATACATGAAGTTACCAAAAATAAAGTAAGTTAACTTTTATGATAAAAGATACATTGTCTTTTTAAAATATTTGTTTAATTGTATACTTATTTATTTTTGTAGAAAGATAAATCATTCCAAGAAATATTTCTTCCGGCATCCAACTCATGAAAGTAAGTTACTAAGGGCATCCTTAATAGTTGAAAATTTTGAGGAGATTTTACAGGTGTGATTATGAAAGAGAAAATGGAAGAGAAGAAAAAAAAGGAAAAAACAAAAAAAACAAAACAAAAATCTGAAAAAAAAACAAAATAAAAAAAACAAAGTTTTTTTTTTTTTTTAAATTACACGCCCAAGCGGGCGCGAGAGTTGCAACTCTCCACTTTGTTGGGGAACCCACCATGCCTGCCAAAGTCTCCATTTTGCAGGAAGAAAGTTTTCATAAAATGTTATATTCTCATTTGTTAAAATTTAACCCAATAACATTTTACTATTCCAAAAGTTGGCAAAGAAACCACCTTTTGGGGATGCCCTAAGTAACATCCTTGTCTAACTATTTTTAGTTACTTTCAATTATCTAATATTATTCATTTTTTTTTTTTTTTTTTGCAAGTTGAATAGATATTTCTTGTTTTGAACATATCTCGGACGAAATATATATGTACAAGGAATCAAGGATTACTGTTGTTGACTTGTGTCTTGTAGTTTGTTGTGATTTGCAAACCTATTTTGAATGTTTTGATGTTTGAACTATGTTATTGACTTGTGTCTTGTACTTTGTTGCGAATTTATATTGAGTGTTTTGATTTGAAGTTTGTATTATTTATGTATGGATAAAACAGAGTAGTTTAAATTTTAAATCAAACACATCAAACCGTCAAATTCAAGATTAAAATCGAGCTCGAGTTCGAGCCTGATCTCGAGCTCGAATTCGAGCTCAAAATCAAGCTCAAACTCGAGCTCTAGATCGAGCTCGAGCTCGAGCTCGAACAATCAAGCTCTAGCAGCTCGACAATTGCCGAGCTCGAGCTCGAGCGTATCTATGCTTGAGCTCGTCTCGACTCGTTTACACTCCTACAAGCCGTACTAGTTTTCAAAAAAAAAATAAATAAAAATGGAAGCCATACTAAAAAAAAAAACATATTTTGACTTTTTTCATATTAATTAAGGGAAAATGGTTAAATAGGCCCTCAAACATTTGTTAAAGAGTCAATTAGCCCCTCTAACATTTTAAATGTGCAATTACACCCATAAACAATGCATTCCGACTATTTTTCATCATCTTCAAGCAAAAAACGTGATCGGCAACCGACGAACGATCGTCGGTCACGGAGAAGGCGACCACTGTGGTGGCCTTCTCGCCGGAGGAAGGCACCCGGTTGAGAAGGCGACCTATAATTACAGGTTATTTACCTGTATTTGGTATTAAAATGGATAATTTATAAGTGTAATTACATCTTAAAAAATTAGAGATGCTAATTAACTCTTTAGCAAATATTTGAGGGCCTATTTTACCCTTTCCCTTAAATTAATGAGAAAACGTTGACAGTTTCTACAAAGGCCAAAGGCCAAAGGCCAAAACACAGCGATTGAAGTGGGAAGATAAGAAGCTGGGGTTGGGGATTCTCGACCCTTTCCCTGTTCAGAAGAAGCTGAGATGGGTTTCTCTGTGTTAATGGCAACGAGGTTAGTGAACCCACTACCCTTACCTCACCTCTCGTCTTTCTTCTTTCTCTGAAATTAATTGCGTCTCCATTTCTTGCAGTGGGTGTAGCAGTAGCTATGGGACACCCGCTCTGGGCTGGAAATCTTCAAGCTCGCTTTCCCAATTAGGGTTTATCCCCAATGGGTTGAACGCAATTCGGACCTCCCGTAAACCCGCAAAGTTCATACGGGCGTGCGCCTCCTCCTCCTCTTCTTCTTCAGGTGCCTTTCTTGCTCACACTTGTTGACTCGGTTCTTTCAGTTTTATGTGATGATACGGCTTCACATATGTTTCTCCACATTGCCAAAATTAGTAGTGTTCTTATGGTTTTGAGTATTTTCGGTTTTGCATTAAGATGTTTTGGATGAGTAAATTGTAATGTTGGAATTCACAATTGTCGGAAGCTGGAATCTTGCTAATTTGAGTGCGTTCAATTGAGAGATAGTAGTTAGTACTCCGTGTGTGTTATTGAAGTTCTATTTATGGACAGAAGTCCAAAACTTGAAGTGTTACCACTATTGGTGGATAACAAATCTGCTGGAATAAAAGGAGACAATGGTGGTGATGTTTTGTTATAATTCTGGTACCCCTCTGCATATTGTTGAGCTCACTTGATTACTTAATTCCTTTGCAAGTCCCAGCCTTGAGCTATTCTCTTAGGATACAGTTGGGGTGTAAGAGAAAGGGGGTGAGGGGTGGGTTGGGTTGGGAATGAAGTCAAGCTGCCAACTTTTTTCCTACATTGTTTTTTTTTTTTTTTTTTTTTTTTTTTTTTTTTTTTTCCTAATGAATATGGTGCTAAATGAGGCATTCTTCTTTGGCTTGATCAAATATTTTATATTTTTCAGAACCACTTTTGGTGAGGGCAGCAAGAAGAGAACGTGTTAGTCGCCCACCAGCTTGGATGATGCGTCAAGCAGGAAGGTATATGGCTGTTTACAGAAAGCTTGCAGAGAAACACCCATCCTTCAGAGAGAGGTCAGAGACAACTGATCTCATTGTCGAAATTTCTTTGCAGCCTTGGGAAGCTTTTCATCCTGATGGAGTAATCATCTTCTCTGACATATTAACCCCACTTCCTGCATTTGGAGTCCAATTTGACATTGAAGAGGTTCGTGGTCCTGTGATTCAGTCTCCCATTCGTTCTGAGGAGGGATTGAGAACTTTGCACTCTATTGATTTGGAAAAGCTACAGTTTGTGGGGAACTCCCTCAAGATTTTGCGTAAAGAGGTATACTACTTATTCACTGAAGATACTGTTATATTACATCACTTTTATTTGGCATGACCTATCCAGTGAACTTTTACAAGCCAACTAAAATGAACTTACTGGTCAACTCTAGGTCGGGGAGCAAGCTGCAGTTTTGGGATTTGTGGGAGCTCCTTGGACTATAGCTACATACATTGTAGAAGGAGGGACTACACGCACATATACAACAATAAAGGGCATGTGCCATACGGCTCCACATGTGCTGAAAGCACTTCTCTCTCATTTGACTAAGGCAATTACTGAATATATCATTTATCAAGTTGAATCTGGAGCTCATTGCATACAAATATTTGATTCTTGGGGTGGACAATTACCGCCTCATATGTGGGAGAGTTGGTCAAAACCTTACATTGATGAGGTAAGCTTTTGGTCTTGTTTGTATTTCTTGGGGACTCTTCAAAAGTGGTGCAATCTTTTTCCAATTTCCTTTGTAACTGTTGATCAGTTATGTCAGTGGGAAGGAACGGATTGGTGTGTGATATAATTCATGCATTTATCCTACCATCATTCTGCAACCTTTTCCTTGTCTGAAGTTTGGAACTTTTTTGCGTTTCTCAATGCTGTTAGTTAATCTGAAGCTTTGTTTGATATTTAGGATAGATATGATTCCAAGTTTTGCAGTATATTTATAAGAATGTGTCACAAAATTGGAACTTGAAGAATTTTAAGTTAGACTTAAAAATACATGAAGAATTATTATATTTTATACCTTCTCAGTGATTGTGAGCATCTCCTTGTTGCTATGAGAAATAGCATTTGATGCCATCAATGCAGCTATTGGAAACCACACTGCTTTATTTGTGGTATAATATGTTTTCTTAAAAATTTAGTTCACACCTCTCAGAGCTTTGAATGCAGATAGTAAGTATAGTGAAGAGGAAGTGCCCACAAACACCGCTTGTGCTCTACATTAATGGAAATGGGGGGCTCATTGAGCGGATGAAAACTACTGGAGTTGATGTAATTGGGCTTGACTGGACTGTAGATATGGCAGATGGAAGGAAGCGACTGGGAAGTGATATCAGCATACAAGGCAATGTTGATCCTGCTACCTTATTTTGTCCTCTCTCAGCTTTGACCGACGAAATCAACAGGTTTGTTACAATAGGATATTGTTAATTATTGATGAACTGGACAATACATTTAACATTAAACCAACGTATACAAAATTTTACAAGAAACGGAATTAGATGTATTTCAAAATACAAGTACATATATTTCCCATTGCTTGCTTACTTTTTGTACTTAATTGTTTAAGCTAGTTGCCTGAGCAGGCTGAGCTGCTGACTGCTTGTTTTGTGTGATTTTATTATAAATTAACTTGATAAGCAAATAAATTCATTGCCAAAAGGAACTGGGGGAAAAAGTCATGACTCTTAAGTGGCACTACTCTATTCATAAACTTAAATTTATAAGTTCATTGCCTAAATTAAATATGTTAAATTCCTGAAAAATGAAAATAGGCATGGCCTACAAGTTGTAGGAACTTGGAACTCGTTTTTCAGCCAGAGCTAATGTCTGCCAATTCATTTGCACACTTGAATGCTATACCTAAGTTTATGAGTTGGACAAGAAAATGTATGTACAGTTGGTGAAAAAAAACTGTTGCAGCTTGATGGGTATTTCAGAAAAAAATGAGGTTATCCTTGTTAATGCCATTTATCTATCTATCAATCTATTAATTCAATTTGGAGCGCCAAATTTAGGGTAGTATGGCTGTAGTATAGATTTCATATCTGGTCATTTTAATAGGTTTATTCCTTTAATCTTTGATTGCATGAGTAAAATAGCTGATAGTATATCTTTGACAGGGTTGTAAGGTGTGCAGGACCCAAGGGTCATATCCTGAATCTAGGCCATGGAGTGCTTGTTGGCACACCCGAGGAAGCTGTCGCTCATTTCTTTGAAGTTGCAAGGAGTTTCGATTTTGATACAATTGAAAACCACGCAGCTCAGGCGTCTAAAGTCACAGCGTAAAGAACAGGCCAAATTATTATTATTATTATTACATCAGTAGCTCACTTCTACTCACCTGTTTCATGTCTTGTGTCTGAGATGGGAGGAGTTTTCTGAACATGGTAGGTCCTTTTAGGCCAATTAAGTAAGAATGAGTCAATTCTTTTAGTTGTTGTATCATTGCCAATCTTTACTATTCATGGTGCTTATATATTGTTTCTCAAGTATATTATTTGTGTGACCCATATGTCTGCTATCTTTACTGCATCATCCTGCCATGAGTCTTTGTCATCTTATTCTTCTTCCAAGAGGAAGAGATTATGATTTCAACTTTTGGTATCTCATTGTTGGATGAGTATCTCATTTCACTGATAGTGGGAAATGGCATGATTCAAAACAAGTTGCAAGTAGCAAAGCTAATAATGTTACTGACTCCCACTTGCATTTTTGCCATAAAGCATATAGGGGTATTTACTTCCTATCATTTGCTCCATTCATACACTCAAAAGTCTTTCATTTTGATGGAGGGAGGAGGCCATCCATCAATCATATCTTTGGTCATTCATCCAATTACTATTCATTCCTAAAATGTGCACAAAACATTACCTTTTTTTTTTTTTTTTTTTTTTTTTTTTTTTTTTTGAGTACTACGGTAAGAATGTAGTATATGTTCATAGTTACTTTTTCAACCTACTGAAGTACAAAAAGTTAATATTATCTTCACTGGAGCTCAAACTCATGACCTCCCATTTAGAAGAGCCACTTCGTGCCACTAAACCACAAGGTCATTGGCTATTACGTCGCTCTTTAAGATATGTAAAATCGCAATTTGAAAATTGGTACCACAATAAAAAAAAATAAAATTGGTACCATTGATTTTTTTTTTTTTTTTTTGGAATAAGGTTCAAATTGGCCACTGAACGAAAAAAAAGTATAATTAGACCTAATTGTATATATCTTTCAGTGCAATTAAACCTTAATTGTATTTTTTTTTCGTTCAGTGGTCTAATTGCATTTTCAGATTACGTTCAGTGGCCAATTTGAACCTTATTCCTAATTTTAATCATGTGTTATATATATACAGTGATCATGCATTCTGAAAGATGATACGAGCCATACAATTGTCTTAAAAAATATCGTTGGTCTAATCTATCATTTTTTTATTGTACTGTATTTTATTTTTAAGTGCTACTTATGTTTACCGTAAAATATATACGAAATAGTAGTTAGAGAGAGGTAAATAGTCACACTAGTGAGATGATGCCCTCATGCCCAGTTTTGAAGTTTCCTAGCTTGGATTTCATGTTCTTCCGTCTTCGTCAGGACGTCTTTTGGATTTTCGTCAGGACCGTCTTGTGGCGCCATGTAAATAAATGAAGCCCTAATTCAGCCATTTGATAGATAAAAACTGAAGATTTGATTGAGAAGAAAATTGAATTATGTCAAAGATTTTGGACGATTTTGACATAATCATGCTCAATTAATTAGGAGATAAAAGTGAAAATTGAATTGCAACTTTGGTAATAAAAAAAAAAAAAATTTGGGGGAAAGTTGTAAAATTAATGGAGGAAGGAAGAATCTTGCCCTCTTCAATATTGGTGCGTGATTTGAGGAAAAAACTGATGAGTTTTAAGCAAGACAGAAAGAGGCGTGAATGAACGTGGACTTAATTAATTGTAATGGGGTCAAACTTCGCTCTTAACTTAGCCGAATTTGAAATCGCTTGGCTTGCCTAAAACCAAGACAGTTAGCCGTCTAACCCACTCAAAATTCAAGGGTCACGTGTTTACAGAAACGTCAAGGAAAACGAGGAACAAACGTAAGGGACACCACATGCAGAATTACAGCCCCAAGGCCAACCTTTGAATTGCAAAACTCAGAGCAACTACAACAAGACTCTCAACTCACGCCTCTCTCTGTACAACTCTGTACCACAAAAATGCGCAAAAGGCAAGCTATTTCCCTCGGACAGTTACAAACCAACCGCCTAGTCACATGCTTCGCACATGCCTTTGACAACCGCCATCAGATGCCTTGCACATGCTCGGGAAACCGTTGCTTCAACCGCCAAGCCGATCGCACCATGGTCCAACCAAACGCACCACTCTGGCCCCTTGGTCCACAACTGCTCGCACTTGGT